TGTGTGTGAGTGTGTGTGTGTGTATGTGTGTGTGTGTAAAGATATCACGCTTTGGACACACAATTAGATTTTTATATGTTGTCATATTTAAAAATCTAATTGCATGTCCGAAGCGTGATATCTTTTGAAAATGGGATCGAGTAAAAGTGGAGAGAGTATTGTTTCCAAGGCCATTCCTGACTGCATGTACATTGCCAAAACTATCTCGATACATTTCAAAAACCGTCTTGTAGCTCACGTAGGATTCGCAGGGCTAACACAAGCCGTTCACTACTCAAGTACGATAGAGAATCAGTTCTGTTCAATTCCCATTTACATCCGGAAGATCAAACAGTTTTTACGTACAGAGCACGTCATTAAAATTTTCGATTATTACAATTTGGTGTAGAAAATAATAATAATAATATTATCTTAACTGTAAAGTATGAGCACTTTACAGAAGTACGTGCAAACATGTAATACAATATTCTCACTCCACCCACTACGACTGATTACGTGTTCCCTGATTGTTCTGTACACATGTTGCAATGTTGCAGTTACGAGCTTAGAATCTCCAATAACGAAAGTTCTTGTGCAATGCCACTTTTAAGAAGTTCTACCGTCCCTCGTTTCAAAACCCGAAACTCTTATCACATTTTAAAAGCACACACGAAACGTCTTTACCATTTTTTCCACTAGCTCAAGGACATATGCAAGTCTGGCAAGCACAAAAAGACAAATACTGAACATTTAGGATGACTGTTCACTAATACATGTCCTGTGAACTAAAAGCGCCGACGAAAAATACCGCGTATTAGTACAATACAAAACACAGTTAGATCAAAACGTTAACAAGCAATGAAAAAAAAATTGTTAAATAGGAATAAATGAAGACTTGTTTCAACCAAAATACACAAGCAGAAAAGAATGTTTCTTTGTCCACATTATCTGGTTCAAACACCTTTGTTTTTTTAATACTAGTGGGACTTTCCTATTCCACTCAGTTGGTTCAAAGTAATCGGGGACGTGGGGTGGGGGTGGGGGGGGGGGGGGAAAAAAACGAATATATATTAATAGGCCGTTATGGGTAATTACTAATTAATCTATACATTTTTCAGAGGTTGAAATAACAGCAATTTTGTTCTACAGATTTATTGGTAACAAGAGGGGGGAGAGGGGAGAGAAGAAATTGAAATATGATCCTTGGTCTGTACCTTTGTACAAAGTTTATATACTTGAAGTGTGCCTTTCCACCATAACAATTCGGCTGTTAGGAGCAGTGAACACATTTAATAGTTCTCTAACTACGTACACAGCAAAGTCTTAGCACGAGAGGACAGAGAACGGGGCGTTTCTGTGCTACATGCAAAAACTCACTAACCGACGAAAGCGCTGTTGGAATGGAGCTGGGAGGAAGAGCTATGGACATCCCGTCCAATGCGGAGAGCTGACGTGTCTTCCAGATCTCCTGTGGCGCAAGGGGAGAGAAGGCGAGACATCTTTGGTCACCATGCTAAAGGGGCATAATTTGTGGGTTCGCCTTACAGCGTTATCCCCCTTTTTTACGCCTGTGTTGGTAAAGTTGAGGACACATCTATTCAACAAATCGTGTCTGCATAATCGATCTGGATCACTTTGAGAAGTCGGACTGGCCAGAGATCACATACTAAAGAAAAAGTACTGAGACGAAAGTTTAGAATGCATTATTGACTGGATCTTGAGCGACATGAATGATAAGGCTTTGTACCTATGAAAAGCGATCTTAGTAAGAGTGAACAGAATGTACAGCCGAGCCTACGTATCTACAACCCTTTTTTCCAAAGAAAGTACAGCCTTAGATACATAATCATCATCCTTCTTCAGGCTTAAGCAAACCTGTCGTTATCTTCGCTGTTTCTTTTTTAATTAAAATCTTGGGGGGCGGGGGTGGTTCAAATTCCCATATGTTGACTTAAGACTTGGCTGTCATCAAGTAGAAACCACAAAATGTTTAGTCTCTGATTATTGAACCGCTTTATGCCAGATCGACCTAAAATTTAAGGGAGGCCTGGCCAGAATGGTGCCTGAAGTTGTGCAGATCCTGCCATGCTAAAATCCGGAGGTGATTTAACCTATAGCGCTCACAGTACTCAACGTCTAAGTGTACCTAAAACAAATTTGTCACGACACGGGGGAATCAGGCACTTGTCAAATTTTGGGTACAGAGAGTTATTGACTTCATCTTAAAGCGTGTTCATTCTTCTTGCTTTTACCAATCCGAACAGAAGTCGAGCTATTTTTAGCTGAAACAGATGGGGGTCGCCCAGTTTCAGAGGTAAAATTAGCGAGAAAATGGCCGCCAAAGTTTGGTGAATTCCATTGCTTGATAGCCCTTGGAAACTGAAATTCCACATTTTTTGTGCCTTTAACCAACGATTTACAGTAAAAATCCACATAGAAATATGTTTTTAAATAAACGTAAAAAGTGTTGAGCAAAAAAAAAAAATAATTAAAATTGCCAAACGAGAGGGAAAATGCCAGTTTCTTCATTTTTATTATTTGGACGATCACCTGATTTCACCACGACGTCTAACAAATTTAGTGAAAGGAAACAATTTAGTCTGATTCTATTCAACTGTTTTGTTTATCATGTCAGTGCTGAGGAAGCAGAACCTGCAAACTGAGAAAATAAAGTCATAGAGGTGGAGAAGAGAATCTAAGCGACGGATGGACACACAAATAAAGAAAATAGAGACGGGGGAGGGGTGGAGGTGTAAAGAGAGCGACTGTGCAAGTGAGGGAGAGACGGAGAATCGAGAGGGAGAATCGAAAGCCAACGAGGAGGAAATTGAGAGAGAAATACAGAGAAAGAAACTGGACGCTATTAAATTACATGTACTGCATCAGCCTTTGCAGCCCCTTTGTTAGTCGTAAAGGACAGACAGACTTTAAAGCTACTACAAAGAAGTAAGAGTTTTCCACACACTAATTTTTTCTAAGGGCAGAACACACCTTGAATCCAAAGGGGAAAAAAAGTATTCAAAGTGACTTTTTAAAAAATGAAAACAATTGTGTAGGAATCACGACTTAAGAAATCCACCATCCCCAACCTCTTCAAACTAATTTCTATCAATATGAAGTAAGCTTTCACTTTTAAAAAATAGTTTACAATAATACAGACTTAAACAAAAGTTAAGGACCACTTGTAAACACTCTGAGTGGTCTTCTTGGGTCGACCTGCACGTGAGCGTTCTTGGACTGATCCAGTGGCTTGATGGCGCTGCCTCAAGCGGACAATGGATGAGTGTGACACTGCAAGCCTTCTGGAAACTTCCTGGGCTTTAACTCCATCCTGCAGCCATACCATAGCTCTGATCTGACACGATCAAAGTCTTTCAGCTTTTGTCTTGTTGGCATGTTGATGCCATACTTGCTTTTGCGCAAACAGCGGCTTATATTGCCACCAAAGTGAGCACAGTTCGAGACCGTACGTCCGTTTATGACGTACACCAGAAATTTTAGCTGAACAATGTCCGTGGTGTGGCACACAAGTCGATAAAAACAGCTAATTTGGCTAAAATTCCCCGAGGATTTGGCGCTGCACGTGATGGTTTTGTCCCTTTAGGAAGCTTTGCAGTACGCATTGGTAACCCATTAACACTTTCAGAGCAAAACAATTTGAAACATTCCTTGCTGTCTTTTTTTTCGGATTTTAACAAAATCAGGGCTGTCTGTCAAGATGGTCCTTAACTTCGGCTGAAGTCTGTATATCACTGGAAAAGTCTGAGCTACCAATAAACTCATGAGCAGGTTTCACGTCACTGCTGATTCAAAAAGCACACAAGATGAGACGAGAATTCTACCTACAACAATTTCCCATCAAAAGTACCTCTAAAGTGCATTGAACGCTATGGTCTAATCTCCAAAAACAGTCACTACTTTTCTATAATCTAACAAACCTTCATGGGTATTCACCAAATACAGATGAAACACTGAAACAACGCCAAAAGTAGCAGGTCAGAACTATCAGTAAGATTTGCCTTTCTACGAAAAAGCGATGATGCCCATTATCGTGTCCTTCTGTTGCCAGTTGGTGCATTTTTGTGTTTCAAAGAGAAGTGATGTAGATCTGATAAATGCACAATTCGCGAGTTATAAAAAGAGAAAACTCTGGTCTTAGAAGTCTTTGCTTTTAATCAGGGACAATTTATCTTGGTAATTTTTCACAAATTCGAGTTTGCAAAGGGAAATGCCTCACTGGTAAAAGTTGGACTGCAGCGATGATGACCTTTTTGCAAATACACAACCGGGCACGTTGATTTTTTTCCTGGCTCTTGATCCACATCCATCCAGTCCAATCGTTCTTTAAAATCAAAGATCCCGTATACTTAAAAACATTGAGTGTCAATAGAATCGTAAAAACCGTCAAAATACTATCTATATACTGTGAATAAGGCCATAATTTGCTTCATTTTCTTTTTACTTTCTCAAACTCTGATTTTACGGAGTCCTGGGTTCACCTATATAGTGAACGTTCGTTGGTAAAGACAAATTATTGACTGATGAAATCTGTATACTGATGATGGGGGGGGGGTCTATCTTCTATAACGTTTTCACAGACCACACATACGTTTCTTTCTTGTTTTCACTTTATTTCTTGACATCGAACACATCTGCAGCCTTGACACTATTTATTTTCAGAACAGCGTGAGACAATTCAAAGTCCCAAACGAGATGTGTTAGAGAAACAGGAATGTACTTTTGGGATATTTCCCACCACCTCCGCAAACATTAACTGTTCAGTCCCAAGTAAAAAGCCAATACAAAATACCCCCAGAACAAAACTTCAGTATTAGAAGACACACAAGCTTCACACAAACCAAACGGAATGAAAACAACCAACAAAAATATTATGTTCTTTAAAATAAATATGACTATTAAAGTGCTTAATTTTTTCTTTGCTGTGGATTTCACAATAATTAGCAAAAATGATAGGCATAACATTCAACATGTTGGTTGATCTACTGGGGGGCAAAAAACGGCACTAAAATTAATCACACAAAGATCAAAATTCACAGTGCCAAAATTCCTAGTGCAAATATAAACAAAATGGGCTGTGGTTGATATATCATGTGTTCATATACGCTGATACAACAACTGGGGAATCTAAACATGAAACATGTAAAATATACAGAGTAAGTAACATTTCTTCAACGATTTTGACTGAGGAGGGATGGTCTAACAGAGTAACAGAGTATATTATGTATCGTTGCAACTAGTCACAAATCAAAAGTACCCAATGTTTCTTTTAATTTTTTTAGCAAAATGTCACAAGAGCTTTTCAATAAGCTTAGGCGGTTATATTATATTGATGGAGAAATTTTGTTTTGGTTTTTGTTGTTCTTTAAAATAGTTGCCTCTTTCGTATGTAATTCTTAAAACTTTGTACCATTTGAAAAATTATATTTACAGCAACAAAACAAAATACGGCTAAAGGCTCAAAAAGCGAAAAATAAACATCAATTTAAGAGAGGAAACTCACTTCTGTCCTTCATGTTGCGGAGTCGCTCCTCTTGTTGCCTTAGCATCGCCAGCTGTTCCGTCTCAAGAGCATCATCTGTGGTTGGTTTCCCAGGGTACATCTCTCGGAACTGCTTGCGGGAGTCTGAGTCCTCTGTGAGTGTGTGTGTGTGTGTGTGCATTTGTGGGTGTGTGTATATTTGTGTGTGTGTGTTTGTGTGTGCGGGTGTGTTTGTGTGTGTTAGTGTGTGTGTGTGTGCGTGTGTGTGTGTGTGTGTGTGTGTGTGTGTGTGTGTTGGGTGGGAAGGGGAGGGGGTTCATTAGTGACGGAAGGATTTTATTGGGGCAGGGAGGAGGGAACACAAACTATAATTAAATTACAAAAGATACGGAGGGGACGGGTTGTTGTTTTTAGTAATAGTTTCACGGCACTTGCAACACAATAAAGCCATACATGTGCTCAAGAATAGAGGTGTTATTAAAGAGTATCTTACAAAAAAAAGAAGGAGTGATAAGGACGATAGAAGTTCGACAGATAAAGAAGGAGCAAACCACATCAGAGCACACTAGTTCACGTGCGTTCTAACACCATTATAACTTCTTGTGCTGGAGTGCATCAAGTCTTTTACAGCAACAACAACAGGAAGAGCGACAACGACAGCGGCAACAGCAACAAAAACAACAACAGCCGGCGGTGGCATCTCTTCGGGGAGGATTCAGGGAGGTTGGACTGCCTCGCCCGCTACCCAAAGGAGGCAGAGGCCCTGGCGAAGAGCACGAAGAGCACGCTCTTCGGGGCTCCAAACATTTCGAACGGATAGGCTACCACACACACACACAGCAACAACAAACGACAAGAAAAATCATCGCGGTATCAGACACTCACTCTTATGCTTCAGGGCATTGAAATCTTCCAGAGCCCGGGAGCTAGCCCTGTCTCCCGGCGTCCTCCTGACAGCCACGGCGTTTCTGTTCATGGCAGTCTCAAACACATCCACCTCTTGCCTGTTTTGCCTGGGGGACAGATACATTCAACAAAGGTACTGGGGTCTGTCCCTGACAAACAAACGTGAACACCGCAACCTCGTTTAAAACGGGGGAAAATTAGATAACTGGCGTCTGCGGTGTAGCAGTTGAGCGCTTCGCGGTCACATGCAGGAGACCAGAGTTCAATTCCTGGGTGGCGGGGGGGAATTTTTATCGAGTATCTCGGTCTTTTTGTTGAGAAGCATCCCTCTCAACCCGTGTGGGCCCTGAAAGCCATAGTCAAAGCTTATATTTGCATTCTTGAATACTGTGTGCGTAGGTGGTGTGTCCTTGCAAACATATCCACAACCTCCACCCCCTTCCCACTCACACACACACTTTTTGCCGTTCCGACAACAATCAGAAACTGCAATCCCAACGCACCGCACCATCAGTGCAATTTCCCAGGTTCGTTGTCTCTTCCTCTCCCACGACAAGACATTACGACATCGGCCTGTGTGCTCAAACCTCGACCGTCACCGTCACCGTCACCGTCACCGCCAGACGAGCAGTCTCAATAAATGTTGTTGGCCGATACTTACCGCGTGAGCGTCGGAAGCTTGGTACAGATTTACCTGTTTCGTCAATGCAGACACAATGTGTGAGTAGGTTTTAGTGTAATAGTAATAATAATAATTATTATTTTATTTT